TTCCCTACAGCATGACCGCATGTTCAGTCTGGTGCGTAAAGCGTGCGTAAATGTTGGCTAACTGATAAACCAAACGATAAACTGTAAAACTGGAATTTGTTTATTATAAGAATGGTTTAAACAGTGCACGATTCATATGGTCTGGGGCACAATGTCAAGGAGCACATGAGAGGTGTCGTGTCAATGTGGAGATGGTTTTACGCACATTCCAGTTTTGCTGCTATGATGTTGGCAAAGGCTCCTTAATGTTTCAACAAAATACCCACAATACTGTCTTATGATGCTATCTGTATGTTTATTAAGATTATTACTACTCCACTACAGCAGCTGACCACAGTAGAAGTTCAGTGAAAGTGAACTACTAAATTTAACTTGGAGTTGGTAATCTGATATGCAGTCAAATCTCATGTGACGGGAGAGTGACTGCAGGCTACCGAGCCCACAACTACAGTAATGCCTGGCCATAAAATATGAAACATCGTCTAGGAATATGCAAATACAATAAGTTATCACAGATTAAATACAATACAAAACGATTATGCTCTTATGTTAAAAGAATGATTCATGACAAAGTTTCTTTGCACAATGTTTTACTAGAAAATTCACCAAATTCTGGATTGGATGCGTCTTTTTTTTAAATTAACTTTTATGGTTTTTGGTTGTAGGTACAGCATGCCAGCAAACAGATCACCGCAGAGACACAGTACAAGGGAATCATTGACTGTGTGGTTAGGATCCCAAAGGAACAGGGTTTTCTTTCCTACTGGAGAGGCAACTTGGCTAATGTAATCCGTTACTTTCCCACCCAAGCCCTCAATTTCGCCTTCAAAGACAAGTACAAGAAGATCTTCCTCGGTGGAGTGGATCAAAAAAAACAATTCTGGCGTTACTTCGCTGGTAATTTGGCATCTGGCGGTGCCGCTGGCGCAACTTCGCTCTGCTTCGTCTATCCTCTTGATTTCGCCAGAACAAGACTTGCTGCAGACATCGGTAAGGGCCTAGCTGAGAGAGAGTTCTCCGGTCTTGGAAACTGCATCACCAAGATTTTCAAATCCGATGGTCTCAGAGGTCTTTACCAAGGATTCAACGTGTCAGTTCAGGGTATTATCATCTACAGAGCGGCCTACTTCGGATGCTTCGACACAGCTAAAGGTGCACGCATGTCTTCAACCTGACCTTTAATGTGTTTTAACAAAGTTTGCATTTTCTCGTGACGAACGTGTGATATAACTCCTCCCACATGCAGGCATGCTACCGGATCCCAAGAACACACACATTGTCATCAGCTGGATGATTGCCCAGACTGTCACCGCTGCAGCCGGGATCATCTCGTATCCCTTCGACACCGTTAGACGACGTATGATGATGCAGTCTGGACGTAAAGGAGGTGAGCGTCAAGTCGTGTCCTTTCACTGATCAGACTCATCTGTTTGGGGCAGTTTTACGCATTTTACGCATGTATCCGTGTGTCTCCATTTTCACAGCTGACATCATGTACAAGGGCACAATCGACTGCTGGAGGAAGATCCTCAAGGACGAGGGAGGAAGAGCCTTTTTCAAGGGTGCCTGGTCCAACGTAATCAGAGGCATGGGTGGTGCCTTTGTGTTGGTGCTGTATGATGAGATCAAGAAATACGCATATTAAACTTTATAATATCACAGTCCCCAAGTAAACCGTTCATTTGGTTTGAGTCCTAGTTCTTGTGATAAAGTGATAACGGCTTGTGATAAATTACAATGTGGGCATGTGGTCTTCTACAACAGCCCAGGAAATACCTGTATACCGTAGGTATACTTCACCTGGGGTAACGTGCCTCCTCCAAAATCTGTATATGTCCCATATGCGATGTGCCAACAGGCAGAAAGTCTTTCAGCATGTCACATTCAAGCCAGTGGTTCAGTTGGGAAGCACTGATGATGCAAAGGATGACATCACTACCTATCATATGCTCCTCATTTTAGTTTGTGAGGCAGTTGCTGAGACTCGTGTGTTGTCATGTTATGATGACTTTGACCCATGTATACAACCTCATGCATAATTTTATTAAGAATAAAGATTTATTAGTCTGATAGTTCAATGTTTCTGATGGAAACTGTCATCTGCAGCCAATATCCACAAACTTTAAATTTAACAAGGTCACATGAATTAGATTTGGCAAAACTCTGTTCATACATGTTACTTGCTCTGACACCTGCATTACTGGCAAAAGATATTAAGCAAAAAAAAGTAGCTGAAACCAAAGCATTTTGGTTTATTATAATTTAATCACAAGTACCAGAAAACTACACTGAATAGTTAAGTATACAATATCATAGCTTTAAAAAAAACTATTAAAGAATCCTCTTGTTTGTGGAATGAGCCCAATTAGTACACAGTGGTGACTAATATGTTTTATAAGAGATGAGTTTAGATTCTTCTGTTTGAAGTTGTCAAATAGCACAATGCTAACTAGTGGAACAAGCAGCTTTATTTTATATAAAACTTAATATAGACAACATCCAAATATGCTTTAAAATACCTTCTTAAATGTTTAAAAACAATTCTTTAGTGCAAAATGTACTAATGTGAGGGGAGGCAAATAGAGCAATTTAAAGACTTAACTGAAATATTGCTCATAATAGTAATGGTTTGTTATTCTCAAAATTTCAATACAATTGCTGAATTAAGGCCAATATTTTCTACAAACATACAGCAGGCAGTGTTTTATAGATACTGCAGTATTCAGAAGCTACAGTTGGACTGTTTGACTGCATTACAATAGTGATGAATAGATACCAACAGATAGAACTAAAAGGAACCAGCGGTATACTTCTTCTTAGATTAGAGGTCTGAAAACAGCAGTGTTCTCAGAACCAGGTTGGTCAGGCTGTGCTCAGTTTTTTGACCTGGCTACAGGTGTGCTGCTGGAGTCAGTGGTGGTAGAAACTGCGCTGGAACTGAGGTGGGCAGAACTGGCACCTGCTGGTGTGGGCAGACAGACCGATCATTTCATATTCAATTTGGAAAATAATCATTTAGAATTCTTATATGCAGGCAAACACATACAAGCACAATCATGTTTTATCAGAGTTAGAAAGCATGTTACTGTACTTTAACATCCTAAATTCAACTATTAGGAAAGAATTTGAATTTTGACTCTTGAACCCAACAAGGGCACAAAGTTTATATAATGTCACACAATTATGAAATAATATAGAAAATTTTAACCAAAACAGCCATTTAAATGGACATCAGTGAAACACTGATTACAAATGAATGGGTGTTTCTTACTGTTATTAGTCATCCACTTGTCATGGCTTTACACTCCTTTCTCCTGTTAATTAAATCTCTGCAGCCATCTGAAGGCCAGTCAGTTGTGTGATAAATATACTTCAAATTTGAGGAATGCTACAAAGCATCACACGCTGATCGTCTTTGTTTACCTAGTTTAAATCATCACATTCAAGCACCACCAGGCTGCTACAAAATAACTACACATGCTCTTGTGGAATTAAAACTCAGTGAGGGTTGGGTGTACAGATGCTTTTATCCTGTGCAGCTGCATCTCAAAAACAGATGCATATTAAACTTATAATCCATATCTTCATATGAAATATGTAAAACGGGTAGAGAGCTGGATAAGAAGGCACATGCTTCTACTGTATTTTAATCGGAGGCTGAGGACTGTGTATAAGTAGGTATTATTACTATGTCTTCATACTTTTAAGGCTATACAAATTATATAAAAACATGTTTTTTGTGGTATTTTTGCCTTTAATCAAAGTATGCTGGGGTCTGGCACAAGCTGGTCTGCTGTACATGACACACTATAACCATTCAGCCACTGGGGCACTCCATGCAAGTGGTTTTTAACACAGTAAAAACTGACACATCTAGACAAGTCACCTACCTGAGACTGTCCTGCTGGTAGGCCTCTCTTTCTTTGAGGTGGACCTACTACACAAGGGGTATGAAGGACCTCCCAAGTATCCAGCATGGCGGTGGTAGTCTGCCAGTTGTTCTGAGCGCCTCAGGCCAGGTGTAGGTTTGACAGACTCCAGCCTCTTCAGGAAAGCCTGTAAGAAACGCACATTTCTCACAATTTGACAAGATGCATTTTCCTGTACCCTTACAATATAAATAATTTTTCACATACTTTTACACCTGACTTAAGCCATGAAGTAGTAGTATTTGTCCTGGCTATTGATCCACAGAACAGCTTATCCAGTGAATGTTAAAGTATTTATAGCATTCAAAAAATAAGTATTAGCCTCAATAATAGAAGCACAATCTAGTCCCCATTTTACATAAAAAAATATCTGGTATTTCACACCAAACAACAGCATGACACAAAACTGTAGACAAAAGGCTGAATGTCATACAGCGCATGCAGTCACACATGCTGTGCTGAAATCCCTCAGTAAGCAAAAACTCCATATGAAGCAATGCAACTAGCACAAAAGCTCAACAGGGCTCTTCTACTACACTTCACCAGTTCTCCAGAGGTCACAAAAGGCACAACTAGCGTCCACAGATTACCTACTGCATTTCCAAAGTATGACTAATTTGAAACTCTTCAAAAAAACCCTAGCCCTCTATAGTAACACCACTGCACTGTTAGAAAATGAAGTATATGTAAGGTAGCCAATCATGAAATGCATAGCATAACTAGCTATACGTGCGCAGGACAACTGATTTGTGTCATGTGTGATGTGTGGGGTGGACACACATCACATGGCAGATTCGATTACTTTACTCTAAGAATAGAGAGGGCAAAAAAGCCTTCCTGACAACACAGAGAACAGAACAGTTTGTTCTCAAAATGACAAACACATTCAGCGACAACAATAAAGACCAATAAGAGTTGTCTAATTAGTAATAATGAGAAGCACAAATGATGTTATTGCTGAAGAAAGAATGCAAGTTCTGCATTATCATTCAGCAACACCTTGTGGTCTGCCAATGATTAATCAATTTCTAATCATGTTTAAACAATGCTACTTTTCTGAACCTTTTATCACTAAGTGGTCAAGCAGAGTTAATGTATGACATGAGAGGCTAAAGCTGCAGAGGCTGAACTGTCACTCTGTGGCTGCCGCTCTCTTGCCACCTGCTGCCATCTGTCCAGGTCTATCTGTGTCCGCTTTCAAGGGTGACACTCTCAAGGGCAAAGCACGCTGGCGACGTAACGTGAAAATTCACCACCACGTATGTTAAGATTTTTGGACATGTTGCCATTGTTTAATCATATTGAAACTTTTCTTTAATGATGGACAGCAGAAAAAAAAAAACTAACAAATATAGCCAGATAAAGATAAAACACAAATACATATACAAACATAACCAGCTGCAACAAAAACAGAGACAATGAAAGACATCATTAAATAAATTAGTTACATGTTTAAAATTGTCAAACATGAAATATTCAAGTTTTAAAAAGTTCTGAAATTCATTGCATTTATAAAGTGCAAAGTAGCGGAAGGTTGTCTTCCTAAGTTCAGTATCTACTTGAGCAAACTGATTTTACCATTAATGTTAATACTGTCATAGAGATTGATTAATACTAAAATAAGTAAATTTAAGTATTGAGTATCAATCCCAAGTAGCAAAACTCACCAGGTTCTCCCTCTCGATGCGTTGCTGTTCTCGCTGCCTGTTGAGTGCACTGTGAGAGAGGCGAACAAGAGGCGAGTTATTGGCCATATTGGTTTTCTTCCTCGCTGCACTTCCTAGGCTGGGCCCAGGAGAAAGGCGTGAGAGCTCATGAAGAAGTCGCTGGTTCTCGCGATCTATGCGCTGCACATCATCGTTGGTGAATGAGTAGTTCTTAATGTTCCTCCCACCAGGACAGTGGAGAATCAGTCTACGTCCAAGTTGTCTCTCTGAACTGAGAGAGCCTGAATGGTGAAAGGACACTTGTTATAGTTATCTTCATCTGCCTTTTTAAAAGAGTTGGTGTTTTTTGCAATGTTTGGTTCTAAAGATACTAAAGTAAAAAAAAACAAAACAGCCATATCTTTTTACATTTATGCCACGATTTACATTTCATGCACAACCCTGAATGACTGATTCATTTATGTTTATTTTTCCAAACAAGGTAGAGTAATCTTCAACATGCTCAATGCAGAGTGTGAGGGAAAGACAGTCTTTTGATGGTTGGCGCTGTCCAAAATTATGAAGACATTGTCTCATGGAAAAACAAGTGTAAAACCCTATGTGAGACAAGCTTTACCTACAAGTCAAAGATTTCTGTGCACACAATGTTAATGTACATTACCATTAGCTATTGAAACAGGCAGATTCAGTGACCATTCAGATTATTACAAAAATTCGAGTTGTGTTTTAGAAAGGGAATGTTTTTATGAAAAGTGTAATTTGTTGTGTTTGGGACCAAAGACAAAGTCCTTTGTTTAAATTTGTAAAAAGCTATTTTCATGTCTTACTAACATTACACAATGGCAGTAGTATTTCTGGCTTCTAATGAAGCCATGTGGGCTGGACACTTGCCCAGCACAATAAACAACGTATACACTACACTCCTATCGAAACAAGAATTTACAGTATAGTGCACCAGATCTTTATCTAGGGGCTGTGACTCCTTCAATAGCGCTATTTTTCCAGTTTCTTTTTTTCCAAGTTTTAAAAATTTTTTTCCTTATAAAATATTACTTCCTTTAACTCACCAGTTACTAAAAATATTTCAGAGTAAACTATTTGAGACAGAATATTCATTCTTTGGGTGAACTGTTCATATCCAAATTAAGACACATTAGATGCAATGAGATGTCACAAGAGAATAGTGCTTTCAAGGGATTGCATGCCAAAAAGCCTGGGAACCACAGGTATTGAGCAAAAGCATAGCAAAAATAACTAACAGAAAAGAATGGTACAGCTTTACTTACTCTCATTCACATCCTGGTCCGAGTCCTCATCTTGATGTATGTTGCTAAGGCCACTGGAGGGCACACTTTTCTGCTGCTGTGCTTCTTGGCTTCCCTCTGTGTGCTCCAGGTCCAGTGACTGGAGAGGGCTGATGTCTGGAGAGGAAAGGGGGCTTACATCAGTTGCTGTATCATCTGACTCCTCTGTACAGCTGGAAGGCAAATCGCAAGATCCTGCTGAGCCCACACTGGTCCTTCTGTCTCCAGGGGATAAAGAAGACTTGTTGGGTTTGGGAGGGCTGGAGGAACCTAAACTGCTTCTTCCATGCTTACTACTACAGGAGCTTTCTGAGTCTGCATCCACACTGGTTTCAGTTGAAGAAGGAGATGGACTTCGAGTGTGTTGGTTTCTTGTCAGTTTTTTAGGAGATTGTTTATTTCTACTTTTCGAGCCTGAGTGCTTGAAATTGGGAGGCAATGCTTCTTCAGTTTCACTAAGACTCTGACTGTACACATCCTCCTCGTGTACCATTTGATCCAGGTGGATTGTTGTTTCATTAGTCCTCAGGGACAAACCAACTTTTGTTTTTTCAGTCTGTTCTGCATGAAGCCTCTCGTGTGGTGAAGGGTTCTCCATATCATTGTTCTTTTCAACTCCATCTCTGCTGATGCCGTTATCATCACAGCCACTATCGAAAAATGAATGATCCACTTCACCTTCTAATTCACTGGGGTTGAACATAGCAGACTTCTGTGACACACTGAACCTGTGAGGTAGTGTAAGGTTGAGACATTAGATCATTTTAAGATTAAAGATCTGTGACGCTTTTTTTTACGTTTTAAGCCATTCACTACAAATCAATGCACTGGATGCATTTTCACACAACAATAATTCAACATCGGCAAAAATGGATTCAGACGATGCAAATTAAGGTTAGTCAACTTAACAGAGAACTCAGAAAGTTAAGCAGCAACTACTTGAAGAAGTTTTCAAGGAGAAGCGTTTTTAGACAGAATGAATAATCGAGTAATTTAGAAAAGCGGATTGGAATTAAAATAACCATCAGCTGCAGCTCTACTACAAACCTCAAGCAGGTTTCAAGAATTCGCTAAACCATAACGTCATAAAAAAAACAAAAGCTGTAGGAAAAATAAATTCTAAAATGTAACGGTCAGATACACTTGAAATTTGAACATGCAAACTCCTGTAACGTTACTCTAGCTATAGCATTAAACAAACTTAGCATACGCTGCGGACAGACCTACATAACAGTTAATACTAACCCTTTAAAAACACCACAAGGACAATGCATGGTTTTAACCAAGGACAGAGCGTAAGTTATCCAATGTTGACAGCTAACGGACTTAGCTAGCGTTAACTAGCTACCGTACTTAAACTACACGTTCGGGTTTGCTAACCTTATCTGTGTTAGCAAGTATCTTACCTGACGGAGGGTCACACGATAAACAGCGTTTCACATTATAGTTGCATTTAATTCGGCAGAGAAGGCGTGCTCCGTTGAGAAAACGATTACATTAACTGTAAACATACATTACAAACAAAATCTTCTTTAGAGGATTAATCCACAGCTGAGCGTGATGAGCGGTGCCTAGTAACTACTCAACATCATTCTTCTTCTTCTTATGGTGTTTATTGGCAGTTTGCAAGCCAACCTAAGGTGCTTTACCGCCACCTGCTGGGCCGGTGTGTAAAACGACCACGGAGCCGAAGGAATTAAAAAAATGCTCTACTGTATAAACTACTAAATCCTATCCAAAATGCATATATCTGCCAAGTAAATAATGGCAATTTCAAGCAACTGATGAACATTTTATATGCTTTTAGTTAACGTCACTTCCTGGCAACAGTTGCTTTGTAATTGTGTTGCGCCTTACAGAAACCATAGTAACCGGTGAGGTTTGGATCTGGATTGTTTTACGGTGACATTTCATTGTTAGTGCCAGCTAACTATAAGTTCTGAACATCTTTAGTCAGTGACAGTCTGTGTGTTAAAAGATAAAAGTTTAGAAACGAATCAAATAAACAGGCGAGGAACGATGGACCCTCCGGATGGAAACCAAGACTTTCAACGGGCGCTGCAATTAGCTGCCTCGTTCAAGACTTTCATGTTGAAAAGCAGCACAAAAAGCAACTTGAACCTCTATGACCACCTCACCCGGCTGCTGATAAAAGTGATGGACGAGCAGCCCCAGAATGTGGCGGATGTTATTGAGGATATGAGTCGTGACGTGAAGCGGGGTTTATTTGAAGACACCCAGAGTTCCCTGCGAGACCTTCCACAAACTACAGCTGCTGAGCTGCTGGCTGAGCAGCAGCGCCTGCTGTTTTCTCGCCCAGAAGATGCTGAGCAGGAGAATGAATTGATGGAAACACCTCTTCCCAATGTGAGTGAGATTGGTTTCTACCTAGAGCAAGCTGGAGTAGGTCTGGGCAGAGAAGAGATGCAGCGGGTCTTCCTTGCACTCAAGCAGCTTGTTGAGTCGCAGGCGCTAGTACGCTGCAGACTGTGGGGGAAGATTCTGGGAATAGAAAGCAGCTACATTGTTGCTGAAGCTGACTACAGAGAGGGGGAGGAAGATGAAGAGCAGATCACAGAGGAAGTAGCTGAGGCAGATGAGAGAGAGGCAGAGTCTCAAGAGAATGATATGGATCTGCTCCCTCAGTCGACCTATAAACCCCCACCAGTGGTGCCGAAGGAGGCCACAGGAACTGGAACTAACAAGTCTGTTTACTATGTCTGCAAAGAGCCTGGTCTTCCTTGGGTAAAGCTCCCTTCAGTCACTCCAGCACAGATCACTGCTGCTCGCCAGATCCGTAAATTCTTCACTGGGAGGTTGGACACCCCAGTTGTCAGCTACCCACCTTTTCCCGGAAATGAAGCAAACTATCTGAGAGCACAGATCGCTCGGATCTCTGCTGGCACACAAGTCAGCCCCCAGGGCTTCTTCCAGGCGGGTGAGGAAGAAGGAGATGAAGAAGACGAGACACCTCGAGACACCTACGAAGTCAACCCTGACTTTGAAGGCATTCCAGTTACTGAGATGGCTGACTCTTTGTCTTCCTGGGTGCATCATGTTCAGCACATCCTGCAGCAGGGACGTTGTACATGGGTGAACTTGGCTGTGAAACCAGAAGACCCTAATGAGGACGGAGAGGACGAGGAGAAGGAAGAGGAGCCTGATGAGCCTGAGCCAGAGGTTGGACCCCCTTTGCTCAGTCCCCTTTCCCAAGATGCAGAAATGTTCAACACCCCTCCCTGGAGTTCCAAGATATCCTCTGCTCTCACCCCTCAGCATTCAGTAGCTGCTTTGCGTTCCAACCTCTGGCCGGGGGCATATGCATATGCTTGCGGAAAGAAGTTTGAGAATATATACGTTGGCTGGGGTCTAAAGTATGCAGGGGAAGGGTACAGCCCATCTGTACCCCCACTGCCGCAGAAAGAATATCCCAGTGGACCAGAAATCACAGAGGACCTGGACCCATCACTTGAGGAGGAGCAGGCGCTGCAAGAAGCTTTAGAGGAGCAACAAGCTGCCCAGGAGGAGATGGAGGCCACAGATGCTACAGATGAAGAAGAGGAGGAAGATGATAACTGAGAAAACAGATACACAGATTTATGTCAATGGCCTATAAATCAGTTAACTCAGGAAAAAAAGTCAGTGTTGTGCTTAGAGCCTTACCTAAATTACATTTCATAGTGTGTCCAAAATCTCCTGATAGTCAACCAAAAATGTCTAATATAAAACAAAATATACCTGTAATACAAATCTACAATAAAACTATACACAAGAGCCCAATTTGATTACTAAGTTTGTCACTTTACCACATCAGAAACCAGACTGAAAATCCATGAGTTAAGAGCAACTCATCCAAACTCCAAAAATAAATAAACTCAGTCTAAAATGTCACATGAATCATTGTTTTTATACATTTTTAAATGTATAAATGGGTGATATTGACACAAAGATCTGCATTCTAAGTATTCCTAGTATGTATTTAATATTAGAAGGTGTATGCTTATAGTTAATAGTTTCAGTGATTTTATTAATAAATGTTATACTCTGAATAATGCCAAGTTACAGGTATCAGCCACGAGCATATTAGCACAACCTGGCCACTACGTAACGTCTGAGCACCACTAAGCATCAAACTCAAACATATAGAGGAACAGAAGCTGTGGAGGAATGGGAGGGAGGTCATATAGTTTTTATTTGGTGACCTACAGCATTATGCCACTGAGTGTGTGTGGTTGTTTGTCTACGTGTCATCCCTGTGATAGACAGGCGACCTGTCCAGGGTGTACTCCGACTCTCACCCAATGTCAGCTGGGATTGGCTGCAGCCACCCTGCATCCCTGTTTAGGAATAAGTGGTATAGATAATGGATGGATGGATGCATGACTAGGGGTGTCTCTGTGACAGCCCCTTACTTACACATTCAACCCTTGGATAAGGAATCATAAACAGAGACAAAAGTATAAGTATAAAATTAATTAAAATTCACATTTCCTTATGTCTTCTGGTAAGAACAGAAAAACATCCATTCAACTGTAACAGCTGACTGATCATGAAAACCTAATTACAGGGAGAGGTCATTTTCCGATAATGGGCTGTGCCAGAGGAATCAGTACAGATAAGGTTGCATTCAGAAGCTGCTTCTCTTCTAACACAAATAATTCTCATAGTGGGATAAATGTTGCTTGGGAGTCTAAATGTTTCCAGGGGTCCACAGCAAAATGAGGATTAGTGTAATTTCATTGTAACTTATTCTATAGCAATTATATATATATAAATGTCATGATGTATATTCTCTCTATACTATTAACTTTCCCCATAAAGGCTAAACAGGTTTACAAGTTAAAACAAAACAATAATCATTCAGTGTGGGCGTCCATGAACAAACAAAGACATTTGTCCTGTGGGTGTTTAGAACCTATGTTATTTAATTGTCTGTAATAGGACTTCAACTTTATTGTTTACAACATGTTGGAAAATAATGAAAAAATGCTCATTATAATTTCCCAAGGTGATGTCTACAAATTTCTTGTGCTAAATCTAAATACACTGAGTTTAGTATTATGAATGACAAAGAAAAGACTAAATTCTCATAATTTCAAAAGCAAGAATCAGAGAATTCAGCAACTGATTGACAAATATGAAACCATTTATTAAGCGGTTAAAATAATTGCGGATTAATTTTCTGTTGCACTGACAAATCTGATAATCAGTTGTTTCAGCTCACATTTGTAACTTCAAAATATTTGAAAATGGAATAAAGGACACAACAAAACATACTGTACATATGAATTATTTGTAAATTCAGCCATATGGTATAGAAAGGTGTCCTTCAGCATGTGCTCACATCAGCTGGCCACAGGAGGGAGCTTACTTATGATGGGAGGAAAGGCCATGTTTTGCATCAGGCATGGTGGGTTCATTTATCTACTGGTAACAGAAAGATGCATTGTATCTCTCTCCAAAATAAAATAAACCTATTAATATGCATATTTGTAGCAGCTCTGTGATACTAAAAAATGGCAAGTACAGATGTTATTCTATATGATGACCTAATTCTCTTTTTAATAGAAAAATGACACCCAAATCTAGCAGTGCCTTTGTCACCAAGACAACTAATTACTAATTAGTGATGCCAAATGACGTCCATCTGAATTGAATCAGAGGGCTTAAATGCTCTTTGGCCTCTGGGGCAGACACAAATTATAATATGCAGTTTGATCCCAAAAATCTGGTCCTTTCCAGCCACACCAGCCCTGAAAAAGCCGGCATACACAAAGGTCAACACTGTATATTAGATGCTCTAATTTACAGAGAGAAATGCAGTCAGTGTGAATGCTGGTAATGCTGACCTTGTCTGTGATAACCTGTAAGTCCTCTCCACCTGTATAATGTGGATCTAGGATGAGATAGCGGATCTGCCCAGTGGTCTCACTCCACGCCACACCCAGAATAGTGTGAGCTAAAACTCCCCCTCCTGCAAAAGAGAACAATGTAAAATGAACAGCACTCTTTTAATAAATAAAGCATAATCAAAGAATTTAATATAAGATAAGCACCAAGAGTATGTGTTTAATATCAACTAGATTGTGGTGTAAACTGTAAATGCTTTTAGAGGTTTAATTAAAGTCTCTGTTTAATGTTAAAAAATATATACACACACACACACACACACACACACACACACAGACTAATGTTGTTATGGTAAAATACATACAAGGTTTTCAAGTTGGTGCAAGATGATAAAGTTGAATTAAAACCACAAAAGCTTGTAATAATAGTTTTAGATTTAGCTCACCAATCATGACAGGAGTCCCTTCAGTAACAAAGTGGTTGGCCAGTTCTCTGCCTTTAGATGCCAACTCAGACCCCTGACTGAAAAGAACACAGATCAGCTGTGAAATAAATCCAAATCATTTGCATAAACATTATCACAAACATGGTGCTAATAGGCTGTACATATGCACACCTCACAAACAGGATCTTGGACGTGACCCCAAGCAACTGGTTCAAAACTGCTTGAACCTCAATGGATCCAATCCACTGGCGTGATCCCACAAAGGATGCCTGTTTGTCTCCGACATCCACTAAAGCCTGGAATACAGTAATCCAAATAGAAGAAGGCATCTTGGATATAAGTGATAAGGCAAATAAAAAACGTAAATAACACTCAAGTACTGACATATTTTCTGCTGTAATGTGATCACAGGGCCACCACCTGCTGGATCTCTCTGTGCGTGGGCACAGGCTGCTCTACATAGCCTTGCTGCTGGAACCAAGAGCAGATGGTCTGCAGGGAGCGATAAGCACAGCCCCAGCCGTTGTCATCCATGCGGTCCTGCATGTAGTGGTGATAGCTGTAGATCCCCTGGACCAAATACACCTTGAGAAGACAAATATAAGAAAGACAAATCAAGGTTACTATTCTTTGCACATTCATTCAGTAACCGTCTTCAAAAGAGGAAACCATGTGTAACAACTTTAATATGGTAATTATACATACTTTTCCAGTGTCCACAGTTGGATGTGTGAGGACCAGATGAGGGTTTCGGAGATAACCGTCTTTGTAGGGCTCACTGGGAAAGTGGTATGCATTGGCTCTTCTGAAGTAAGGCCTGTCATCTGGTAGCTCAAACTGTTGATGCAATTCCTACAGACAAACATTGTGTGCAAAATGAATTTTTAAAAAGTGCCAGAAAGGACCCATCAAGTGTTTAGCAAGGCAGCGTACTCTGGAAGTTCAAGAAAGTGGATCCAGTGCCTGATGAACAAAGCTGTACAATTGGGCTTTCTGTACCTCAGTGTTTGTTTTATATCGTTTGAGCAACCAAGATACTATAACCACTAATATCAGAGGATTTACAGAACATGATGCCTGCCTATTTGTTTGGGATTTAAAGATACTCAATCTGTTGTTCTTACCTTACGCTGCTTTTCTAGTTGGCTGTCAGGCACTCCTGCTGGATAAACTA